TTATTACTGTAATGTAATGTACAGGTTTCATTCTCGTATATATTCTTTCAGGGCTTTGTTTCATAATAAAATGGATGTTTTGGGAGAAATTGAAGCGAAAATCAATGAGGCTGATGATTCTCCACCAAAAACATCAAACAAGGTGTGTGTCTTTTTTTTTTCTTCCTTAAATAAAATGTTACTGAGTGCTCTGTATTTATTTTATTTTATTTTTTTATAAAATCTGAACTTCATTGAACCATTTGTAATGTTGAATGAAGTTATAAATTATAAAACAGTTTGATTTGTATTTTTTAATTCGGGGCTGTATTAGAGAAGCCGTAAATGATCATGGTTCATATCAGTGTTATTTTAGTATCATTGATATACTATTATATTTTTTATTAATATTTTGAATTATTTAATTTTTATATTTTATGTTCTCATTTTAATTTTAGTTAGTTTTACTAGTTTTGTTGTGTTTGTCATTTTTTTTAATTGTTTTTCATTTTTTTATAAAAATGTGTTTACAGACATATATAAGTCTAATAAAATCTCAGTTTCATTGAACCAGTTGCAACTCAATTTTAGTTAAGGTTTTGCTAATTTTGTTGCTTTTGACATTAGTTTTAATTTTTTTATAAATATATATATATATATATATATAATTTATATAAATTTTTCATTCAGTTTGTTATTTTAGTACATAAAGTCAGTGCTATTTTAGTGTCGTTGAGATGCTATTATAGTTTTTATTAATATTTTGAAACAGTTTTTATTTTTACATGTTCTGTTTTCATTTATATCTATATCTATTTATATACAATATAAAAAAAATACTGTGTGTATATATAATATATATATGTGTGTGTGTGTTGTTGTTTTTTTATATTATATTTTAATAATAGATCATTTTATGTCAAGTAAAGAATTTTTAGGGTTTTATGGTTTTGTAGTTTTAGTTAAATATAATAATCCTGCTTCAAGTTAAACTAAGCACAAATGAGAAATAAAATGGGCTGAAATAAAATAAGTGAATTTATTTTAATTCACTTAATGTTTCTTTTATTTCAAGTAATGAAAACCTTTTTTTTTTTTATGGTTCTATTTTTAGTTAACCGTGGTTCATCTCTAAAGATTTTTAACACTCGGTGGTTTTAAATCAATTAAACCGTTTTGCTCGTCTTGTAGGAAATTGCATCAATTCTCCGAGAGCTGCGAAGAGTCCAGAAACAGCTGGAAGGTCAGTAGATCCAAACGTTCCTCCTCTCTTACCGGGTCACACACTCTCAGGAAAAAAGGTACAAAAGCTGTCACTGGGGCGGTACCTTTTCAAAAGGCACACTTTTGTACCTAAAGAGTCCAAATGTGAACCTGGAGCACAAAACCAGTCATAAGGGTCAATTTTTTTATCAATCTGAAAGCTTGTCTGAGATTGAAAATCTGGAATCTGAGGGTGCAAAAAAATCTAAATATTGAGAAAATCATCTTTAAAGGCTTTAAAGATTTTCGCAGGGGTTTTTGTGTTGCACATCATAGAAGACAACGTTAGCATCCGATAATTTTAACTGTTGGAGAAAACTGGTTAATTTTAAGCTTTTTTTTGCGCTATTTTCATCTTCCGGGTTTAGAATCTACATCGTGTTGACGTCACAATTTGTGACGCGGTGTCTATTAAATTATTCATGAGACTGCGTGTTCTAATCCAATGAGAAGCCGCTTCGCTTAATTATTCACAACAGTATGTGTTGATTTGCTATGACAGACGTTTCAGAGTCTGAGAGAAACGTTCATGGATGGAAGAAGAGTGTTTGTTTTTGATTTGTAATAAGAGTTCGGCACAAACGCGATTCATTCACTTGGTGAGCAAACCGTTTTTACAGCTCTGTGACACAGAATAAACCTTAAAAAGTTCTCAGAGGTGCAACAGCTTTTGTGCTCCAGGGTCACATATTAGTACCTAAAAGGTACAGAAGGTACCGCCCCAGTGACAGCTTTTGTACCTTTTTTTCCTGAGAGTGCAGTCTGTCTGATATTGAACCTCACTCGTGTCTCTCTCAGTCATCAACACTGTCATCGATCCTCGAGGAAACCCTCGTCTCAGCCGCACGCTTGCTTCCGCCGGGGTCCGTGGTTCCAGAGGCGCGTCCCATCGAGGCGGCGGAGCGACGCCGAGCAGCCGGCGCATGTTCAGGAGCACAGACCGAGAGAGTTCACTGGTGTGACGAGCCTGTCCCAGAAATCATCACTAGTCACTTTGATATGATTTCAGTCGAATCAAACCCGTCTAGAGCGATCGCTGGCTCTGACACACATTTGCACATTTATATTCCTCTAAACAAACCTTGTGGCTTTGAGAAACTGCAGATTCTGGCATTAAATGTAAATACACTGTTATTGATTTTCTTTATCTTTGTTCTGTTGATGGTTGTTATGGATATGTAGGGTTAAGTAATTTACATGATTATTTAAGTCACTTTGTCTCTGTTGGACAGAGTGTTTGTATGTTAAAGATCATTAAAGAATTAAAAATGCATGAGTTTTGTTGTTTTGTCTTTTTACTGCAAACAACGTGAAAGTCCCTGCTGAGATGCACATTTAGGTTATATATATAATAATTTTTTTTTTTATTTCTGATTTGAGTTTAATATCATAAACTCATGACAACCCCAAAAAAAAAAGTTACTTTAAATAAAATTAACAAATAAAATGAAAATGAACTGAAATTGAAATAAAACTGAAACAAAAATATATAATGAATATAAAAAAATAACTGAAATAAAATGACTAAAACGACAACCAAAAAAAAAAAAAACTTGTTACTTTAAATAAAATAAATAAATAAAATGAAAATGAACTGAAATGAAACTGAAACAAAAATATATAATATATAAAAAATATAACTGAAATAAAATACAACTGATATAAAATATTAAAAGAAAACTAGTTATTTAATTTTAGCTATTTGCCAAGGCAATATTTCTTATTTTCATTTAGTTTAATTTGATGTATTAAAATAACTAAAAGCAAAAGTAAAGCTGAAATAAAATGTAATAAAGATAACTATATAGACGTATTTATAAAAATAAAAAAGGTAATAAAAAGTATAAAAATACAACAAACATTAAAACTAAATATAAAATGAAAACAAAAATATATAAATAAAAATTAATCGAAAATATTAATAAAAACTATATCTCGATACTAAATTATTTTACTGGAATTATTTTTTTATTATTTTACAAATATTTGTAACTCAAATCAAGACAAAAATACTAAATAGGAAATCTTTTTTTTCCAGTGTTATTTCAATAAAATATCACTGACGTGAAAATGCACTGCAAAAATTGATTATTGGTTTTCCAGTACAGATATCTAAACAAGCAAAATGACGTAAGATATTAACTCTTGTTTTCTGGAAAATGTATCAAAATTAAGTGAATTTAAGCTTTAAAACAAGAAAAGAAATCTGATAATTGGGTCAGAAAAATAAACTTAATTGAGATGGAAAACAAGATTATTTTTCTGACTCCATCGGCAGATATTCTTGTTTTAAGCTTTAAACTCATTTTATTTCATTCATTTATTTATTTTAGAAAATGAGACCGTATCTTATGCCGTTTTGCAAGAGTTAAACACTCCTGGACGTCCATATAAAGCTCAAGTAAACATCATGTGTAAATGAAGCTCTGATAATTAATGCTTACACAAGCATAGTGCACTGAAGCTCTGATCAGTCGTATTTCTGCTGAAATGAAACTGAAGTTATGCTGTTACTCCGAGGAGTCGGGAGTTTCTGACACAACATCTCTTTCGTGCTCATTAATGCCTGTGTGACGTGTGTTTATGACAAACATCAGTGCACTGGATGAGGTATGTAATATTAATATTATACAGCATGCAAACAGTATATTATAGTGTAATATACAGTATCTGAGCGCTGAGATGCGACGGCTTTCTGTAACATGCCTCATATGAATCTTTTAATGCTGATGTGCACAAAAAAACTTTATAAACCTGTATTTTAAATTTAGGCATTTATTTATACACCGTTAAAAAAGTAAATAAAATCAAGATTACGTTTTAGAAAATACTGTTTAAAGTCTTTCTATTTCAGAATTACGTGTTTAATGTGTTGCGGTTTCATTTCTGAGTTAAAATTTATTTGAATCATATACAATTTTTTTTTTCGGTGTAGTTTATTAATAAACACTGTTTTAAAATCTCTGCATTCAGTTCACAGAAGATCCAAGTCTGTAATCAAAATGTTATTATAAAAGTTTTTAATCCTCCTTATGCATTTTTACCATTTGCTTTCATAAACCTTCATATTTAAAATAATAATAATTTTTTGATGCCTAATTGTTTTAAAGTTTAGTTACTAGTAACTAGAACCTTATGTTGTAAATGGATCTGATTATCTTAATTCACAGTAGTTATTAGTTTAGCACAGATGCAATTTATTTATTTTTCCATCTTTATTTTTTATTTATTTACATTTATTTTGTATATTTTTATTTATTATTATTCAATTTTATTCACTTTTTATTTACTTATTTTCTAAGAATAATTTTTTACTGTTTTTCATTTTTATTTGTTATTTGTATTAATATTGATTTATTTTGATTTACTTATTTTCTAAGAATTATTTATACAGTTTTTTTATGTTTATTATTTGTATTTATTAAGTGTAGTTATTTCATTTAATTTTTATTCATTTATTTTCTTATTTACTTTAATTATTTCCATAAATACAAATAAATAATATAAATAATAAGTAATAAATATAAATAATTATTTTTTTTATTGTTTTATTTTTTGTTTTCTATTTATTATTTGTATTGATTAATTTGTATTTATTCACGTTTAATTTTTATTTGTTTATTTTCTTATTTATTTTTAATTATTTCCATCTTTATGTTTATTTATATTTATTGTTTATATTTTTTTTAATTATAAATTTTTATTTATATTCTTTTTATTTATTTATTCTTGTTTTGTTTTCTATTTATCCGTTTAATAATTTCCTGTAGATTTTTCATAAAGCCAGTTTTTGGTCAGTTAAGTAAATATGTCATAAGATGTGATCTACAGATGTCTGAAAGCCCCTTTAAATATATTAGACAAGTGTTGAAGTGACAAAAACAGAAATGAAAAGCGAATGAGGAACTAATGAGATTATTTAAGAATATTTCCCTTTGTGTGTCACGAGAAATCATCAGCACCTGCTTCAACATGCCAGCGTGAGTCCTCTGCTGTTTCACACTCACTCTTTGCTTTCTGTCGATTCGTTACAACATTCAGTGATAAATGCTTGTTTTCAGATCTTCACGGTTACTGGACGGTCATGAACTGACGTCTCCGTATAAGAGTCTACATGACAGCTATGTGTCCAGTCGCAGGGTGAGCTTGACTCTTTCAGAGCGTCTCGTCGGATGTTTTCTATCTAGTGATGTTTTTGTGCTCGCAGGACTCCAAGTGTCCCGTCTCGGCTCTGCTGGCCGCTGGATGTCTGCTGGTTTTGGGGATTTTATTGGCCGTGGCTGTAATAGAGACGTTAAAGAATGAGGATCGGATCCACGAGGCTCTGAATCCTCCTCAGACACCGCCGTGCTGTAATCAAAGTGGCCCCATCGAGCAGAGCAGGTGAGCACACTTCCTGTTTTCATGCTTTCACTTCCTGCCACCTTCAGCACTTCTGCGCCACAGTTTGAGTTTAAGACCAGCTTCTGTTTGGATTTGGATTACATGGAGAGCTGACCTTTAGTTTACATGCAATTTCATTTAAAAAAAAAAGAATAAAACCGACTTCCCGTGGAATTTCTTTCTCTTTTTAAAAAGTTCAAGGCGTCACATTTCTTAGACGTGCATCTGAATGCTTTCGATTCATATGAACCCGAAAAATCCTGGCAAAAGTGATATTCAAACAATGATTTAAATTAGATTGATTTATTTCTGCTGAGCTTTGCTAGGCATAAAATTTGTTCAATTTACACCAAAGCAAATGCAACTGCTTTGACATTTACAGAAGTGTTGTAAAATTATTAATTATTGTATTTAAATACTTCACATTTTTTCTAAACTCATAATATGTACATTTAAAGATTACCCAGCTCAGCTCAATTCTATAACAGATTGAAATATGTTTTAGTGCCACACAATGGAATTGAATTTTTTTTAAATCTTATTATTTATTTATTTGGCAAATTCAGTGTTGGTTAGTGTATAGGATTCAATAGGCTTTTGATACAGTGCTATTTTTGTATCATTGATATACTATTATAGTTTTTGTTAATATATTTAAATTAGTTTGTATTTTTTTTATTTTGTCTTCATTTCGTTTTTAGTCAAAGTTGTAGTTATTTTGTTGTGTGTTTTTGTCATTTCATTTGAGTTATTTTGTACTTAAAATTCAGCTAAACAAAAATGTGAAGTGTCTCTTGGAAACTAGTTGAAATAAAAATACAATTATGATTTTAATATTTATACTTTTGAATTATTTAAATACCTCACATTTATTCTAAATTGATATGTACACCATTTAAAGAAATATATTGTATTGTGTATATATACACTGTTATTTTAATATAATTGATATAATATTATAGGTTTTGTTAATATATTTTGAATTACTTCTATTGTCTGTTTTCATTTTAATTTCAGTCAAAGTTTTAGTAATTTTGTTGTGTGTTTTTGTCGTGTGTATATATATATATATATAAACTAATCAAAAATGTGATGTTTTTTTTGGGAACTACTTGAAATAAAAATCTAATTATGAACAGGGATGGGCAGTATTTCAGATACATGTATTTAAAATAAGTATTTGGAAATACAAAATACCTTTTTTGTATTTTGTATTTTAAAGCCTTTGAAAAAAAAATAGAATGTAATTTGCATTTAAGTACATTTTTCCACACAGTATTTTGTATTTGTATTTTAAATGCATTTTCATGTATTTGTGCCCATTTCTGATTATGAATTTAGTTTTTATACTTTTGAATTATTTAAATACCTCATTTATTCTAAATTCATAATGTGAACACAATTTAAAGTTTACTGAGTTCAATCTAATGGAAATTTGTTTTTCAGATGAAATATTTATAACAGACTGAAATATTTTTGAATGCCACAATAGAATTGAACATTCTTGGTGAATATTCACTCATTCATTCATTCCCTCATTCATTCACTCGTTCATTCATTCACTCATTAATTTACTCGTTCATTAATTCACTTGTTCATTCATTCATTCATTCATTCATTCGTTCACTAATTCATTCATTCACTCATTCATTCACTCATTCATTCATTCACTCGTTCATTCATTCACTAATTTGTTCATTCATTCACTCATTCATTTACTTGTTCATTAATTCACTTGTTCATTCATTCATTCGTTCACTAATTCATTCATTCACTCATTCATTCGTTCGTTCACTAATTAATTCATTCACTCATTCATTCATTCACTCGTTCATTCATTCACTAATTCGTTCATTCATTCACTCATTCATTTACTCGTTCATTAATTCACTTGTTCATTAATTCACTCATTCATTCATTCGTTCACTAATTAAGTCATTCATTCACTCATTCATTCATTCACTCGTTCATTCATTCATTAGTTCACTAATTCATTCATTCATTCACTCCATTCACTCATTCATGCACTCGTTCATTCATTCATTCATTCGTTCATTCCCTCATTCATTCACTCGTTCATTCATTCACTTGTTCATTAATTAATTAATTAATTAATTCGGTCATTCATTCACTCGTTCATTCACTCACTAATTCATTCATTCACTCATTCATTCACTCACTCACTCATTCATTCGTTTGTTCATTCATTCACTCACTCATTCACTCATTCATTCACTCATTCATTTATTCACTCATTCATTCATTTGTTTGTTCATTCGTTCACTCATTCATTCACTCATTAATTTATTCACTCATTCGTTCACTAATTCATTCATTCACTCATTAATTTATTCACTCATTTGTTCACTAATTCATTCATTCGTTTGTTCATTCATTCATTCACTCATTCATTTACTCGTTCATTCACTCGTTCATTCACTCACTCACTCATTCATTAGTTTGTTCATTCATTCATTCACTCATTCATTTATTCACTCATTCATTCATTCATTCGTTTGGTCATTCATTCACTCATTCATTTATTCATTCACTCATTCACTCCATTCATTCATTCATTCACTCACTCATTCATTTGTTCATTCGTTCGTTCGTTCATTTCTTTCTTTCTTTTTAGGCATCATTGATATTTATATTTTTTAATATTTTTAATTAGATTTTATTTTTATATTTTCTGTTTTTATTTCAGTTTTAAAGTCTTAGTAATTTTGTTGTGGTTTGTAATTTATATATATATATATATATATATATATATATATATATATATATATATCTAAGTTTATATTTTTAATTAGATTTTATTTTTATATTTTCTGTTTTTATTTCAGTTTTAAAGTCTTAGTAATTTTGTTGTGGTTTGTAATTTATATATATATATATATATATATATATATAGTTATATATAGCTAAGTTTTAGTTTTTATTTATATTTAGTTTTTTAGTACTTAAACTTTATGTTGCCTTGGCAACTAGCTGAATAAAATAACTTTGTATTTATACATTTATTTCAAGTAATTTTTTTTTTTGAATGGTTTTAGGTTCAGTTATCGATTATTTTTAGTTCACTGTTGTGGTGAATTTGTGCTTGTATCCCGTCACTAACAGCACACAGATGATATTACGTGTCCCTTTATGAACAATGCCATAATTTTCTCACATTTCCGTGAGTGATGACAGTCAAACTTTGTGTGAATTTGCTTTCAAAATAAACAAAGCATGTGTTTTCTATGGAGGATGATTCGATAAACCGAGTTATGAATCTGTGAGACTCAGATTCGGGTCTGGTTGTGTGATTTCTCCCAGTATTGTTCTGGTTGAGAGTTTTCCTCTGGGTGTGGATTACGGGAGGAAGGTGAAGGCTGGAGTGAATCTGTTTGAAGCCTGGAAGGATCTTCTGTCTTCGGCCTCCAAACAGATCGACGTGGCGTCCTTCTACTGGTGTCTGACCGGCGAAGACATCAGCGTCAACTCCTCCAGCGACACACCGGTACCTTCAACACTGACACGAAGCCATGATTGCAATTAGGGGGTTGGGAGATATGGCAAAAATATCATATCACGATTTTTCTTTAGAAATATCACGATTCACGATTTTATCACAATTCTATTTTGCAAGTTGTCTGAGCATTACAGCCAAACTATTTTCCCTATTATCAAGACAAAGCCTTTCAAGGTAACAAAATATAAAAAGAATAATGCTGTCAATAGATTAATCGCGATTAATCGCATCCAAAATAAAAGTTTTTGTTTACATAATATATGTGTGTGTGTACTGTGTATATTTATTATGTATATATGAATACAAAAACATACATGTATATATTTTGAAAATATTTATATGTATTTACATGCATATATTTATATTCATATAATTAATATTATGTATAAATATATTTAATATGTAAATTAGTGCTGTCAAACGATTAATCGCATACAAAATAAAAGGTTTTGTTCACATATTATATGTGTGTGTACTGTGCATATTTATTATGTATATATAAATACAAACATATGCATGTATATATTTAAGAAAAATATGTAATGTTTATCTATTAAATATATTTATATATAATATAAATGATCTGAATATAAATATATACATGTGAATACATGTATATATTTTCAAAATATATACTGTATGTGTGTGTCTTTATATATACATAATAAATATACACAGTACACAGTACACACATATATATTATTTTGTATGCGATTAATCGCGATTAATCGTTTGACAGCACTAATTTACATATTAAATTATATTAATATAAATATATGCATGTAAATACATGTAAATATTTTCAAAATATATACATGTATGTTTTTGTATTCATATATGCATAATAAATATACACAGTACACACATATATTATGTCAACAAAAACTTTTTTGTATGCGATTAATCGCGATTAATCTTTTGACAGCACTAGTAAACATAGCATATTTTTCTGAAATATATACATGCATGTGTGTGTATTATATATACATAATAAATACACACAGTACACGCACACATATATTATGTAAACAAACTTTTATTTCGGATGCGATTAATCGCGATTAATCGTGTGACAGCACTAGTAAACATAGCATATTTTTCTGAAATATATACATACATGTGTGTGTATTATATATACATAATAAATACACACAGTACACACACATATATTATGTAAACAAAAACTTTTATTTTGGATGTGATTAATCGCGATTAATCGTTTGACAGCACTAGAAACATAGCATATTTTCCAGAAATATATACATGCATGTGTGTGTATTATATATACATAATAAATACACACAGTACACACACACATATTATGTAAACAAAAACTTTTATTTCGGATGCGATTAATCGCGATTAATCGTTTGACAGCACTAAAAAAAGAATGGTGCATATGTAGGCCAAAGTGGGTGAAGATAAAAATCATTGTCATTATTTTAGCTGTTATTAAAAAATGAGAACTAAGATACACATTACAAATACACATAATATACAAATAAAACAAACAGTGCTTTATTTTCAGGTACAGTAGGTGTATTTAGCAGGAGCATTCAAGAAATTGCATGAACAAATATAAAAATAAAACACTATATAGATTGATTCCTATGAAAGCAACTGTATTAAAGTTTTTCAGTCAAGAGTAGTGAGTGATTTTTCTCGTTGTGTTTTGGTGTTTTATTAACATTAAAGGAATAATTCACCCAAAAATAAAAATAGTGCTTTATTTTTATACCATCATTTACTCACTCGAAAGTTGTTTTACATTTTTATCGTCCACGATCAAAAATTGTCATATCGCACACCCCTAACTGCAATACGATGCATGTGAAGGTATTGCTGTTTTTGAAGCATGGTTTCTTGTTTCTCAGGGCAGAGAGATTTTAGAAGAGTTCAAGGCTTTACCGTCCAGAAACGTGTCTGTGCGCGTCGTCACCAGCATCCCCACTTTAGCTCCCAATTCAACCGACCTGAAAGCCCTCAAAGAACAAGGTCAGGAATGATGCAGCCTTATGTTTCATTTGATTTGATTTGACCAACTTCAGACTAGTTTCAAATATTTCTACTCTTAATTATCTACCGAAAATATTCCAGACATTTTCCTCAAGTCCTAACTAGTGTCGTTTGAGCATTATTTGTATACCATTCATTTTTTTATTAATATTTTGAATTAGCTTTTATTTATTCTTTATTTTTAGTTTTCATTTTAAATATTAGTTTCATTTTTAGTCATTTTGTTATGTGCTTTTGTCATTTTTTATTAGTTTTTTTAATATTTAGTTTAATATATTTAATAACCTTTAGTTTAATATTTATATTTTATTTGTTTTCTGTTTAATTATTGATGAAATTTTTTTGTAATTTTGTTGTGTTTTTGTCTTTATTTATTTATTTTACTGTTTAGATTTAATTTATTTTTATTTCAGTTTTAGTTTTTATTTATTGCCAAGGCAACATTTTAAATTTTCCTTTACCTTAGTTTTTTAATCTAATTCATTAATTATTGGTTTATTTTTTGTTGTAATTTTGTGTTTTTGTTTTGAACTACTGTTTGTTTAATTTATTTTTATTTCAGTTTTAATTTTATTTCAGTTTTAGTTTTTTTTATTTCCAGTTAGTAATTTTATTGCTTCATCTGAAACTTATTTCAGTTTTTACTTTTCCTTTAGTTTAAGTTTTTCATCTAATTTTTATATTTTATTTGTATAATTTTAGTTTTCATTTTAATTATTAGTTAATTTTTTTTGTCAATTTGTTGTATTTTTTATCATTTTTATTATTATTTTTTAATTACTGTTTAGGTTTAATTTATTTTTGTTTCAGCCTTAGATTTAGTTCAGTTTTAGTTTTTATTTATTTGCAGTTATTAATTTTATTGCTTCATCTTAAACTCATTTCAGTTAGTTGCCAAAGCATTATGTCTAATTTTTCATGTAATTTCCATCTAATTTTATTTTATTTTTTATTACTATTTAGGTTTAATGTATTTTTATTTTCTATGCAATTTGTTTTTATTTTTATATTTTTATTTTTAATTTTAATTGTTAGTTTAATTTTTTTAAGTAATTCTGTTGTGTTTTTGTCATTTTTATTGTGTTATATTATAATTTAGATTTATTTTTATTTCACTTTCAGTTTTAGTTTTAATTTATTTTCATTTGCTGCTTTTGTTAGTTGCCATTTTATTTTTTATTTTTTGTATTTTTAGATTTAATTTTTAATACTGTTATTTCTTTCATGTTACTGCTCAGATTCAATTTATTTTCATTTCACTCTCAGTTTTAGTTTTTTATTTATTTCCAGTTAGTAATTTCATTGCAACATTCCTAATTTTACTTTCATCTGCGCTTTTCATCAAATATTTGTTTTATTTGCCAAAGCAATATTTAAACATTTTCTTTGGTTTGAGTTTTTCATGTAATTTGCATCTAATTTTATTTTTTATTACTACTTAGGTTTAATAAATTTTTATTTTGGTTTCAGTTTTAGTTCTTTATTTCCAGCTAGTAATTTTAGTGCTTTAGTTAGTTGCAATTTTTTTATTTGATTTTTTTTTTAAAGTAATTTTGTTGTGTTTTTGTCATTTTTATTATTTGTTATATAATAATTTAGATTTATTTTTATTTCAGTTTTAGTTTTTATTTATATTAATTTGGTGCTTTTGTTAGTTGCCTTTTTTTTTTTTTTTTAGATGTAATTTTGAATTAGTCAAATCTTTTTGTTAATCTGTTTTTTTCTTTAATGTTACTGCTTCGATTACATTTATTTTCATTTCATTTCAATCTCAGTTTTAGTTTTTTATTTATGTCCAGTTAGTAATTTCATTGCAACATTCCTAATTTTACTTCCGTCTGAGCTTTTCTTCAAGTATTTCTGTTTTATCTTAGTTCAGCTGTATTTCAGTGATTGTTCAGGATAATAAGCATGTGTTTGGATGCAGGAGTGCAGATACGCCGCGTGAACTTCGGACGTTTGACTAAAGGAATCCTTCACTCCAAGTTCTGGATCGTGGACGGGAAACACGTCTACATCGGCAGCGCCAACATGGACTGGAGAGCTTTAACGCAGGTCAAAGAGCTCGGTGTGGTCATCTATAACTCCAGCGCTCTGGCTGCTGACCTGCAGAAGATCTTCCAGTCCTACTGGGTCACGGGTCGCTCCAACGCCTCCATCCCGGATCCCTGGCCTTCCGACTATGACACCGACATCAACGAGGAGCGTCCGCTGCTGCTCAATCTGAGCGGAGTGGAGAGCAAAGCTTACATCACGGTGATTCACACAAACTCTTCTGATCATAGATTACCGTGTGCTAGAAAACTGATGCTTCTGAGAGTTTGAAGACTTAAACGCACATCCATATAAAACTAATTCAGAGCTAACATGAGTTATAAATGTGACCCTGGACCACAAAACCAGTCATAAGTGTCCATTTTTTGAAATTGAGATTTATACATCATCTGAAAGCTGAATAAATAAGCTTTCCATTGATGTATGGTTTGTTAGGACAATATTTGGCAACTATTTGAAAATCTGGAATCTGAGGGTGCAAAAACATCTAAATATTGAGAAAATCATCTTTAAAGTTGTCCAAATTAAGTCCTTAGCAATGCATATTACTAATCAAAAATTAAGTTTTGATATATTTACAGTAGGAAATTTACAAAATATCTTCATGGAACATGATCTTTACTTAATATCCTAATGATTTTTGGCTTAAAAGAAAAATCTATAATTTTGACCCATACAATGTAATTTTGGCTATTGCTACAAATATACCCCAGCGACTTAAGACTGCTTTTGTGCTCCAGGGCCACATTTATGATACAAAAAACTTAAAAAACGTAAACAAAATGTTGCTTGGCCAAACTATTTAAAATAACATTTAAGTTGAAGTGCTAGAAGTAAAACTGAAGTAAAAAAAAATAAAATAAAGCTAAATGGAAATAAATATAATAATAAAAATGACTAAAATTAAAATGAAAACTGGAGATATAAAAATAAAAGCTAATTCAGTATATTAATAAATGTAAAAACTACAATAGTATACAAAACAGGGTTATTGACTAAAACTAAAACTGAAACATAAAAAAATCACCAACATTAACTAAAATAAAAATAAATATAAAAAACTAAAACTTATTTTATTTAAGCTAGTTTCTGAGACAAACATAAATCGTTTTAATTTAAACTTGATGTACTCAAATAACTAAAACTTAAATAAAAATATATAGACATAAAAAACATACTGAAAATGACAAAAATCGCCCAACAAAATGACTGAAACTTAAAAAATTACTAATTAAAAATATACAAATAAAAACTGAAATGAAATGAAAATATTAATAAAAACCATAATAGTGTCTTAATGATACTAAAATAACAGTGATTTAAAATACTAAAATAACAATTTTGCCAGCACTAATTCAGTATATAAATAATTTATATAATGTTGTATGTAACAGGGTGATTGTAGTTAACTAAAATTAAAACCTTTAAAAAAACATTTTACTTAACTTGAAATAAAATAAACATTATCTGAAATCAAATTCTAAATAAAATAAAATAAAAATAAACTTATTTTATTTCAGCTAGTTGCCAAGGCAACATATCTCATTTTAATTTAGTTTAACTTGATTTACTAAAATAACTAAAACTGAAATAAAAATAAAAAAGCTGTAGCTTCAAAATGGTGAAAAATGGTCAAGTTTTTAAAAAAGACATTAATAGTTTATTCAACAAGGCTGCATTAAATTGATCAAAAAGTGAGAGTAAAGACATTTATAATGCTACAAATTATTTCTATTTCAAATAAATGCTGTTCTTTTGAACTTTCTATTCATCAAAGAATCCTGAAAAATAAAATGTATCACGGTTTCCACAAAAATATTGCGCAGCACAACTGTTTTCAACATTGATAATAATCAGAAATGTTTCTTGAGCAGCAAATCAGCATATTAGAATGATTTCTGAAGATCATGTGACACTGAAGACTGGAGTAATGATGCTGAAAATACAGCTGCGCATCACAGAAATACATTACAGTTTAACAGATATTCACACAGAAAACAGCTGTTTGAAATTATAATAATATTTCACTATTTTTACTGTATTTTTAATCAAAGAAGCACAGCATTGGTTTGAGCACAGCTTTGCTCTTCCTCAGGCGTCTCCGCCGGTTTTCTGTCCGGACTCTCGCACACGAGATCTGGACGCGATCCTGTCGGCCATCAGAGGAGCGCAGGACTTCATTCATGTGGCGGTCATGGAGTTTTATCCGGCTTCCAAGTTCTTCCATCATCACGGGTGAACGGGGCGCGAGTTTGAGTGACATTTCAATGCGTTTCACATCATGAGCTTCATGAGCGTTTATGATGTTGTTTATGTGCTTCTGCAGATACTGGCCCGTGATTGAAGACGCTCTGAAGCGCTCGGCTGTGGACAGAAACGTCTCCGTCTGTCTGCTGGTCAGCTGTGGACAGGAAACAGATCCGGCCGTCTGGCCCTTCATCAGATCATTAGACGCGCTTAATTCGCCGTCAGACAACATTAACATCGCAGTGGTGAGTCACGTGTGAAGATCGAGAGAAAAAACCCTTTCATCAATCCAACTGCTTCATATAAAACTAATTACTGTAAAGAAAATAGTACACTGTAAATAACAGCTGGATGCCAGTAAGTTACTGTAAAAATATTTACGGTATTACTGTAATTGCATTTACAGTACAATAATGTCTTTACTGTATTTTATTTACAGTATTTTCATTTACAGTATCAGTACTGTAGAGTTTATTTTCATTTAGTTTAAACATTTTTTACCTGTAAAAAAGTTACTGTAAAAATTTGTACGGTATTATTACTGTAATTGCATTTACAGTACAATAATGTCTTTACTGTATTTTATTTACAGTATTTTAATTTACAGTATCAGTACTGTAGAGTTTATTTTCATTTAGTTTAAACATTTTTTTACCTGTAAAAAACAATCCAATTGTGGTACTGCACTGTAAACCGAGTTTATTTTCATTTAGTTTAAAAAAATTTTACCTGTAAAAAAGTTACTGTAAAAATTTTTACGGTATTATTACTGTAATTGCATTTACAGTACAATAATGTCTTTACTGTATTTTATTTACAGTATTTTAATTTACAGTATCAGTACTGTAGAGTTTATTTTCATTTAGTTTAAACATTTTTTTACCTGTAAAAAACAATCCAATTGTGGTACTGCACTGTAAACCATGGTTTTTAACATACCCAGCCATACACAATAACTCATGAGCTTTAGTTCTGATAATATTATTTTTAATTGTTGAACATTTTCTTTTTAAAAGTACAAATTACAAATCTTGACCTCAGATGCACTAGCTTAAAAAAAGGGTATCACCACAGTCCCCTGGGGACTTTGTATCATGGAAAAACATACACATACTGAAAAGCAAAAATTAGCAAGTACACTACCAGTCAAAAGTTTTTGAACAATAAGATTTTTTATGTTTTTAAAGTCTCTTCTGCTCACCAAGCCTGCATTTATTTGATCCAAAATACAGCAAAAGCAGTAATATTGTGATATTTTACTACTTAAAATAACTGCGTTCTATTTGAATATATGATAAAATGTCATTTATTCCTGTGATCAAAGCTGAATTTTCAGCATCATCACTCCAGTCTTCAGTGTCACAAAACCCTTCAGAAATCATTCTAATATGCTGATAAACATTTTTTAATATTATTATCAATATTTAAAACAGTTGAGTA